TGTGCATGTTCTGGGCTGGCGCTGTCTTCCTGTGTGAAGCGCCAGACCCATTCACACTATGAAACGATGATGATGATGTATGTCCAGGGCTGCATTACAACATTGATTGTTCGGATCACTGGTATCTAAGCCTTCCGCTGTGCTATCTTATACCTTGTATTGAAAGGTCGGTTCTTGTTCTGGTTTGCACCTATACGGTATGCAACAGCGGTCTTCCTCAGCCAGCTGGCTTGGGAACATGCATGCCTCTATGCTCCACAATATCGTCGACGTCCGCAGATTATCCATGGTTGGGGACAGCATTGATCTCCTTGATGGAAATTGTTGTGTCTCAACAAAAGGTGCAAGCTTTGAGGCGTGAAACACAGGGTAAGTGCATAGGTGACCAAGGATTCGAATCATGTCTAAGGGACCATCCAAATCACTACCCACACTGTTTAAGGCTTCCCAGGGTTTCTGGAGTTGCCGAACTCCTGTTCCAACTCACTAGCCTTGACCCAGACACGTTCCCCTACCTCAAATGCGGACTGTCGACGATGCTTGTTCTCAGAAGCAATCATCGCTTCTTGAGATTTCTTGATGTGTTCGACAGTGTGCTGCAACGACTTCTAATAATGGACACCAAATTCAAGGGTTCCAGGCGTTGCAACAGTTCGATTTTCAGGTAGGAGGAAGTCTAGAGCAGATCTAGGCTTCCACCTCAAATGCAGCTGATTAGGACTGGCGTCGGTGGTGCTGTGTACAAGATTATTGTACAGACTAGCGATGAGAGGTAATTTCTCATCCCAGTGATCCTGGTTGGGCTTGATATAGTGCCTCAGGAGATGTTGCACCACATGGTTCATCTGTGGAAACGTGCCTGTTGGCTTCGGGATGATTCCTTGAAGTCGTTTGGAGCTGGCTGCCCATCTGTTCAGCGGCCTTTTTCCACATCTCGCCGGTGAACTGACATCTTTTTCGCTAACGATTGTCTTCGGTAGTCCAAAGTCTCACACACCCAATTATCCATGAATAACTTGATGCATTGCTCTGTCTTGGCAGTCTCTGGCATGGCAATTAGTAAATCTATCAACTATGAGGAAGATATGCCCACTCTTGCTGGTCACGAGGGTATCCATGAAGTCCATGGAAACAATCTTCTGGGACCAGCAGGAATGGGTAAAGGCTTTAATAACCCAAGTGGAGCTTGAGTCCGAGGCTTGTCCCGCTGGCAGACTTGGCAAGTCTGAACGTAGGTCTTCGCATCATCAAGCATGTTAGGCCACCAGAATCGTTGTACCAAGTTAGCACTAGTCTTCGTGTAGCCGAAATGTCCCGTCGCGTCATGACACTCAAATAAACTATGCGAATTCTCCCGAGATGGAACCACTAATCTTTTCAATCCCGCCTTCTCAAGAAAGAGCAACCCATCCACCGTCATAAACTCGTCAGTTGTGGCCTTTTCTTGGGCCTCGAGTTTGTGAATGATGTCCATCGTGACATGGTCTTCCTGGTAGGCTTCCAGCAAGGATCGAGATACATCGTCAGATAAGCCAAACTCAGTGATAAGCGCACCCTGGTAGTCTGCCCTACTTGACAGCGCATCAGCAACCTTGTTATACTCTCCTTTCACATAGTCAAGCTTGAAGTCAGATTGATCTATGACTTCAATCCAAAGTTTGAGTGCATCGGAGAGCACAGGTTGTGTCTTGATCCACTTGAGTGTTTGATGGTCGGTCCGCAAGTAGAAGAACCTTCCCAACAGATAGTGCCTCTAGTGGACAAGTGCCTTATAGAGGGCATAGGGTTCCCTTTCGTAAGTGGGCTTCGCCAACTTCTTCGATGGCATCTTCTTGCTCATGTACTCGATCGACCTTAACTTATGCCTTTCTTGCTGCGCCAACATTGCGCCAATGTCGTACTGGCTTTCGTCAATGGTCACTACGAATGGCCTTTGAGGATCGGGGACCATGAGAACCTCATGATGTGTAAGGGCGTGCTTCAATGTATTTAAAGCAGCCTCACATATATGTCGTCCATTCCCATGGAGTGTCAAGGCTCGTTAGATCAATCAAGGGAGATGCGATTGTGCTATAGTTATGTACAAAATTGAGGTAATAACCACACATCCCCAAGAACGATCTGACCTCAGTCACAGACTGGGGTTCGTGGCCAGTCTCTAATGCTAGCCACCTTCGCATCTTCAGGCCTAATCCCTTCCATGGATACTTCATGAGAATCATGACCCAAGTACAAAATTTTAGTGCAACCAAACTCACATTTCTCTAAATTTATCTTATACTTGTGCTGCCCGAGGAGAGAAAGCACTTTGTCTACATGTTGAGCATGCACTTTGCAAAGGCCGAAAGGCATCACCACAAACTCATACAAACCGTACCTGGTCTGAAATGCGGTTTTGTGCTGGTCTTCCAGACTAATGGCAATTTGATGGTAACCGGACTTCAAGTCTATCTTGGTAAAGTACTTACATCCCTGCACCCTATCCAATAGGTCATCGATGCGCGGTAGGGGCTCTGTGTTCTTAACGGTGATGGCATTGAGCCCCCTATAATCCAATGCACATCCTTAGTGATCCCCCCTTCTCGGCACAAATAGAACTGGTGAGTTGAAGGGGGAGATGCTAGGCCGTATCCAACCCTTTTCTATGAGCTCTTTCAGTTGCCGACGCAGCTCGTCCAGCTCGGCCGGAGCCATCCTATAGATTCTCTCTTTGGGTATCTTGCTCCCAAGGCTGATCTCTATGGCATGCACAACCTCCCTGTCTACAACACATGTGGGCTCCTCAAACAAATAAGGGTACTTAGCAATGACACTCTCTATCTCTGGGAGTGATTTTACGGCCTCCCCTTTCTCAGAGACACAAACGAGGTACATACCCTCATCTTGGTTCTGTTTATAGTAATTATAGAAGGTCGATGCGCACAAACACACATAGGAGTTCATTAACCTAACTAGCCTTATATTCAACTAGTCTAACGGTCCTCCCATTAGGCAGCTCATGCCTCAACACTTTCTTGTCCCAGTAAAACTGGGGCTTGGCAACCTCAAGGCAGTACACATACCTATCAACATGTAAAATGGTAGGTCTTCGCTAACCAGGAACGAAATCTTATGTTAAAGTCCTCCTCCTGCATAGGAGAACATGCAGACTACATCCTTGATGTAGTCCTCCACCAACATGCGCTCTTTGCTAGCCAAAGTAGATGCTACCGGTCCAATAAGGTGCTGTACCCGGTCCTATAGGAGCAGTCTATCAACGCAGTCGCGACTTGTAAAGTTCCGCATGGAGCCGATGTCTACGAAGGCACCGCACTTGCAGCCATCTACACCAACTTCCACAACGAAGTGCTCCCCTCACCTCGACTTAGTGCCACCCATGACTCACGAGGGTCCCTTGCCGACCACTCACTTTGTAGGTCCTCTACGGACTCAGACACATCCAGCGAGCAGAGTATCGTTGGGTCAAGATGTGTCTGCGGGGTGACTGAGGAGTCAATAGCTTCGGCCAACTCTTGAAACAGGGAGGATACATCACCCGCTTCAACATGCCTAGAAGCAGCTACAACTTCCCGAGTTGGAACTTGTAGAGGCCCCACTCTGGGAAGAAGGAATCCTCCTTTAGGCGGTATCTTTTGCGATACCTTAGCGTTCTTGCATTTGAACTGTTGATGGTCATACTCGCCGTAGTTAATGCAAGCACCCCACGTAAACCCAAACCGCTATTTTGTTCGGGTTCGAGTTTTGCCCATGACTCCTCTGTTGACCGCCCTTGTCGCGGCCACCTACCTTACCCTTTACTACAGCAGCGAGGTTGCTACCCTCAGCATCATCCTCGCCGTCTAACTTTGTACCGTCCACTAAGTCCGAAAAATCGTTGATCTCGGTTTGAGTCCCATCAGCCTCAACCATCATTAATCAAATCCCCTTCTTCTTCCATTCTTGTGGACGCTTCTTCTTTCTTCCGTCCGTAGGGAGTTGTTGAGCACCTCCTAGTGTGGCCTCCAATTCTAAAGCCTTCTTGCTAAAGGTCTCAAAATTGTGATACTCTAGCCGAGCTTCGCTGACTAATAAGTTCTTAATGGTTGTGGGAAGACATCTCAAGAACATGGTCAACAAGACCTGCAGATTATATTGTACCCCGGGAACGACAATCAAACGCTCTATGGCAGAGGTGAGCTCATGCACGGATTTGTACTTTTTAGCATCAAGTTTCTGCAACCCATCAGTGGCAATCTGTGCCCGTTGTGGGTTGTGCCATCGTGCTTCCGCCAAATCCATAAAGCTCTCTAGTGAATGGGTCTTAGCCCAATCACCCATGTTCCTGCTGAATCCCTTTGAGGCAACTAATCCGTTTAACCAGCGAGTTGTCAATCCCTCCAGATAGGATGCGACAATTATCACTTCCTCCTCTACCAACGTCCTCTCCGCCCTTACCCACACTTGCACCGTTCTCAACCAAGTGTCGAGAGCCTCATCCTTCTTATCTCCTGAGAAGGTCATGGGTGGTTTCAATGGGTTTTGGGGTACCAGGGCTATTGTTGTCCCGCTGGTGGGACAAGTGGCGGTTGTGGTGTAGCTCCAGCCGCTGGACCAGGAGATGAAGAAGCAACAGTCTGTGCTGCTGCTGCTGAAGTACCGCTTGGTATGGTACCAGGCTAAGGCGGATACGGGCCTGTCATCGCCAAGAATGGCAGCGATGGCAAAACTGCTGGCCTGACTCCTAGCCTGTGCATGGCATTCAGGGTCTTGTCTAGGGTGGATAGAGTCCAGTTTATTGTCCATGTATGCGTGCATGGACATGATGCTCGCCTTGAGAATCCTTGTCGTGTTGACAAGCGTTGAGTCATCTAACCCCTCTAACGCAGCTTTGTCTGCCTCTCTTCCCTCAAGTCTGACTCTTCTATTCCTAATCTCATTCTCCCTTTTAGTAGCTTTCTTAAATTCCTTCTCTAGCCTTAAGTGGATCCTCTCTGCTTGCTGGAGCTCCATCTGCTCCCTGGTGTGTGGAGGCAGCGAGTTGAAATGCGAGCCCGCCATCTGACTGGTTCCGGACCCTGTCGTACTGGAGATGGACTGCGAGTTAGTGTCCAACATTCCAAGAGTAAAGCCAGACGAGGTTGCTGCAGATGTTGCTGCAGAGGTAGCCATTGCTACTGCGCTAGCTTCTGCTACCGCTAACGTCCTCTTGACAATTGCTGCTGCTTCCCTGCCAATCTCAAGATTACAGGCCCTTGCTTCGACCCTCAGCCTTCTTTCTGTTCCCAGTAACAGGACCTGGAACACTACAGGTACCCTAAGCGTATCACGCCTGGTCTGGCTTCTATCATCAATTGTTCCTTCCCACTCATCGGCTAGGCAGGCGCTGTCTGCACTAGTGTTCCCTCTATAATCTACTGCAACATGCGTCTGACCGGTGTTAAAAAAAATAAAATAAAAATAATAATAATAATAATAATATCACCCAGGCTGCCATTCAAGAAGTATCAACAACATTTACACAGACCGAACACATAATCTAAATCTACTTTGATTAGCTGAATTTAGTTCCCTCACAGAAGCTTTGAGAAGAACTGGCAATGGTAGAACATTACAGTCCTAGTCTAGGCTGCCTGTGAGGTGTTAGCAGTCTGTTAACCAACTAATCAAAATAAAAATAGACTGTGTGAGCAGATGTATGCACAATGGGCATCGTTATGTTTGCCAGCTGAGTCTCAATTGGAATCTTCCTCCCCTGTATCCAGCGTGCCTGTAGTCGAGCGGCAGTGTCTAAGGTGTGCATTAGCCGCCCAACCCTATGCCCAAGGCGTATGCTTATGACCAGAACTGCCCGTTATTTATCTTCGCGTGCAACGAGTCTTACGTCGGACTGATGTGGCTGATCAAGAGGCAGTTTAGGGACAACCCCCACGGTCCTCAGGAATTATTTAACGTCGCAATCAGGACGACGTCACAACTAGTGGACAGTTCAGACCCCCGCCAAAACTATTTATAGACGGTCGAGATAGCGTCGGCATAGGACTGACCAGTCCGCACACCCCTTCTATCAGCGCAACAAAAAGCCTTCAAAGGACAAAGCAACATGGCCTGCGTGTACTACTCCCATGGGTTGGCATGGTGACCATGAGCCGTGCTTCGACCAAGGCCCTTCGGAGGCACTACCCTCCCCTGCCAGATGCGCCACCTGGAAGAATGTTATCTCTCAAGGTAGAGCGCTCACAACTCCTCACACAAAAGAGCGGACACTCAAGATTGGACTCACTTTCTCACGGTAAGAAGAGATTGAGAGGGTAGATAAGGTAAGGGGACAACGTACCCGGAGATAGCGGCACCCAACCTCAAATTTCTCACCAATTGAGCCGACGTGCATTTCGATGACCGGTCATAGCTTCGGTACCACCCACAACGCAATACAGTGCCACCTAAGCCAAAATGCCACATTAGCATGCTCTCATCATCATACATACATTCGTTGTTGCCACAACTCCCACGTTGTCGCCACAGCCTTCCAACGGTCGACCCCTCTACCTGGGTCCCGCTTATCAAGCCAAGCTCCAAAGTATCCTCACTACACAGAAGCATCGTCAGCGCACCAAGTAACAATGTCACCAGCGCCAAGTAAGTGGCGATCTTAAACCAGCTCCGATACGAAATTGCAAGGAATATGAGTGGGAACGATATACGGAAAGCCAAGGTGCGAAATCACATAGATGTCCAAGTAGTCGTGTACAAGCAGAGAGCACAAATGCATCGAGATTCCATCCAAATAAGAGCAATAAAATGAAGTCACGAGCCAATGTTCAAGCCCTCAGGCCACACCAACACAGTATCCAATGACGCTCCTCTCTGTCTGGTGCCCAGTGCCCAGCCTACACTACTTGCCTATCCTACCTACATTAGCATTCACGCAGCAGGCTCACTTCTACTCTTGGAGACCAATGTACATGACGTCAACACCATAGCCGACCTCTCTTATGAACCAGGTGCGTATCTTGTCTTCACTCATCAGACCCCGACCACCCACACTCGCCTCCTTCCTGAAGACCACCGATCGCCCTCATACCCCCTAGCGCCCTGCAGCCCAGTTATGGTTGCAAGCGCTCCACTGCCCACCAACGCCCCTCTTCACCTCACAAGCGCCCACACACACCCTGGCCGCTAATGCAGCACGCAGCAATGCAACAGCGTGACCGCAATGCATGTGTGGGCCCGAATGCATAACCTTGGCAGCCTTCTTCCTTATATGGAAGTGGCAGCCTCTGTTTGGCTGCGTGTGGTCTGGCTGGGAAGCTTCTAATAGCTTCCGGTCAGGCCCTAGTGCTTGCGCCCAGGCCCAGTGCTACAGTTGAGGCCCTTGACCCTTTATAGTTGGGCATGGCCTGAGTTTCCATACTTGGGCCGTTTGCTGCATCTGCACAGGACCCGGGGTATGTACGTCGACAATGCTGCTTTTGCGTAGGCCTGTAGTCACTTCGTGATGCATCGACCCTGCATTGTGTGTATGTGCCCAGGCACAACTACCAAGGCCTGGGCCAAACTGTACGACGCAGCTTAGGGAGGCTCACACTTCCATTCAACCAACTGGCGTGCTGCAACAGCCTGAGTACCCATATATGAAAAATGTCAAATTTTGGCCTCTAGTAAATATTCAGGCCCGTCTTCACTTAGGGCGGGCACTTGGCTTGCGGAGGGCCTTTGCCCATAACATGTGCATGTTTGAGAAGGGCCCCGCGAGAGCTCGTTCCTCGCATTCCATCCCCCTTAGCTTCGAAAGTCCGTTGAGATGCTTCATGTTGGTGCCTTCCCCTTTAATTTTCTGTCATACTCGGCCACTATCTGAGGAGTTGTCTTAACAAGTTCCTCTCTTTTGAACCATCGATCTTCCTTAGGATCTGTGTGAGGCTTGCACCGTACCCTGTACTCCCTCATAGGTTTAGGCGGTCTTCCTCGGCCAGCTAGCTTGGGAACAGGCATGTCTCTGTGCTCCACAATATCGCACGTCCACGTGACCATCCATGGTTGGGGGCAGCATTGATCTCCTTGATGGAAATTGCTGTCTTAGTGAAAGGTGCATGCTTTGAGGCGTGAAACATAGGGTAAGTGTGTAGGTGACCAGGGATTCGAATCATGTATGAGGGACCATCCAAATCACTACCGACAATGTCTAAGGCCTCCCAGGGACCGAAATACTGAGGCATTAGTTTTCTAGAGATGTCGAACTCCTGTCCCAACTCACTAGCATTGACCCAAACACGTTCCCCTACCTAAAATGTGGATTGTCGGTGATGCTTGTTCTCAGAAGAAATCATTGCTTCTTGAGATTTCTTGATGTGTTCAACAGTCTGCTGCAACAACTTCTCATACTGGACACCGAATTCAATGGTTCCAGGGGTTGCAGCAGTTCGATTTTCAGGTAGGAGGAAGTCTAGAGCAGATCTAGGCTTTCACCTCAAATGCAGCTGATTAGGACTGACGCCGGTGGTGCTGTGTACAAGATTATTGTACAGACTAGCGATGAGAGGTAATTTCTCATCCCAGTCATCCTGGCTGGGATTGATATAGTGCCTTAGGAGATGTTGCACCACACGGTTCATCTGTTCAGCCTGCCCGTTGGCTTCGGGATGATTCCCAAAAGTAGTTTGGAGTTGGCTGCGCATCTGTTCAACGGCCTTTTTCCACATCTCGCTGGTGAATCTGACATCTTTGTCGCTAACGATTGTCTTTGGGAGTCGAAAGCCACGCACCCAGTTATCCATGAATAACTTGATGACGTGCTCAGTCCTAGCAGTCTCTGCCATGGCTGTTAGTCTAGCGTACAACTATGACGAAGATATGCCTCTTGCCACTCTTGCTGGTCACGAGGGTATCCATGAAGTCCATGAAAACACTCTGTCTGGGACCAGCAGGAATGGGTAAAGGCTTTAATAACCAAAGCGGAGCTTTAGTCTGCGGCTTGTCCCGCTGGCAGACTTGGCAAGTTTGAACGTAGGTCTTCGCATCGTCGAGCATGTTAGGCCACCAGAATCGTTGTACCAAGTTAGCACTAGTCTTCTTGTAGTCGAAATGTCCCGTTGCGTCATGGTACTCACCTAAAAATAAACTACGCAAATTCTCTCTAGATGGACCACTAATCTTTTGAATTCCACCTTCTCAAGAAAGTTGCTTGTATTGTTATTTTACATAACATACATTTTTTTCAGATTYTTCTGAGAAGGTTTTTTTTTTTTTTTTTTTTTTTTTTAATGTTCGCGTCTGGAGGGTTTTGGTCGCTTGTTCGCGTTTGGGCGAACATGTTCACTTTCGCCTCCGAACGCCAACATGGTGCTATGTAGGGCATCAATATAAACTTACAATGCCCGTATCGAGTCCGAAATTCCGTCTTATACTGGTCATCAGGATAAACTTTTATCTGATGGTATTCGGACTTTAAATCTATCTTGGTAAAGTACCTGCAGTCGTGCACCCGATCTAACAGATCTTCTATGCGGGGAAATGGTTTTGGATTCTTTACGGTTATTGCATTCAGACTCCTGTAGTCTATGCACATTCTAAGTTATCCCTCTTTCTTGGGGACGAACAGAACAGACGCGCCAAAAAGAGATGAACTGGGTCTAATCTATCCTTTCTCTAGGAGTTCGTCTAATTGCCAAGGCAGCTCCTCTAATTCCTTGGGAGACATTTTGTAGACTGCTCCCTTGGGCGTTTTACTGTCGGTGCTGAATAGACCTTGGTACTACCCCAAAGGGTGCTTCAGCTATATCTGCATATTTTTTTAGCAAATTTGCGATAGTGGGATGAATTTTATCTTTCTCTTTTGGTTGGTCGGATGATAGCTTTGCATACGCTACAAAGACCTGTTCTTCGAGTTGCTCCTTCTTTACGAATCGGGCAAAGGCAGCAATGTGCCAACGACAAACGGGTTTTCTTAATTCCACCTGAGGGACTAGGGAGCTTGCACTCTGCTCTCGAAAATGCAAAGTGGCATCAGCTGCCTTATGCCAATTAGTACCAAGTACTATATCGAAGGGGAGGTTATATTCTATGAGTAGAGTTGGGAAATAGGGAACCTTCTCTACCTTTCCCTCCTTCTAAGCGAAAATAGGTTTGGACTCCCTCGACGTACTCCTCGATCAACATAGTGCGGTTATCTGCAAGGATACTGACTATAGGTTCTTCCAATTTTTGGACTTTGAGGCCTAGCCTCAACTTCTTCAACGCCTTACGACTAATGTAACTTCTAGTGGCCCCACTATCTAAAAGGGCCCCTACTCTAGGTCTAAAGACCTCTACATCTGCTAACAATATTTGCCTTTTCTCACTTTTCTTCATCTTGGCGCATACTAGTCATCTTTCTTTGAGCTCTTCGGCCAGGCCTGTGAGGGAAGCACCTAGAGAGACTCTAACACAAGTAGTCTCTGGCAGCTAGCTAGGTGCTGGCCAACAACTTCTGCCATGGACACACGTGGAGTGGGAGTTTCTACTTCGTGCGCGCACTCATCTCCACATGCTTCTAGGGTAGGGGCGGTTGCTACCTCTATCGGCGATTGCCTTTTGCTGACCCAGATGCAGCACGATTAAGTTTCTTATACTTCGGGCAAAATTTGATGATATGCCTGGTGTCGGGGCAAATACCCTGACAAGGGCATTTGTCGGGGATTTTAAATGTCAGACGTTATCCAACTTTTTCGTTGAGTTAAAAGACTTGATGAGACTGGCGTTGTCAAATGGTTATTCAGATCTGACCTATGACTGAGAGGCTAAGAATTTTCGAGCTTTAGTCTGGACGCTTGTGGCGTCCAAGAGTAATAACAGTAGCTGGCGGTGTTTCGCTTTTGTCGAGCCCGCAGAAATGTGCGGGCGTGGAAATGGTAAAGATAGACCTATCCTATTTAAAATAATGTCGTGCGGCTGTACAGCCGCGCGATTCAGGGCCTGAGTGGGCTAAAAAGTGGGATGTCTGGGGTATGGGGCCACGGCGCGGGAGGAATAGGAAGCCTCTTTTTTTCTTTTCCCCGGCCCACGGGATCTTACTCCGCCCGAAGGCCGAAGCCGCATTGGCGGCCTAGGGGCCAGGTGGTCCACCCAGCTAGGTTGAACGTTGTCGAGCCTTGCACAACGGCCAATTCAATGGTCGGTCAAGGCGGGCAATTCCAGCCAAGCTAAGGGGTGGAGCAAGCGGTGCCTGCTATGTTATAAGCGGACAAGGTAGGTGGGCTATGCTCTTCTTATGGGGAGGATGCTCCTACTACTCTCGTAGTACTACTCTCGTAGTAGGAGCCAACCTAGTAGGTTAACGTGTTTGAGTCTCACCCCGCAGATATGGGGATCGAACCGACAAAAGCCTACTGGGCCGGCTCCTTTTGGAGCTGGCCACCATAAGGCAGGAGGGTGGCCGATCTCGGCCATGTGATTATGAAATCACGCGGCTAAGATTAGCCGCGCCAAGATTGCATGGCCCCTGCGCAAGGATGATACGCATAAATCGAGAAATGACCCTAACCGATTTTTGAGTCCATCAGGACTCGGACTCGGGCCCGTATTTCAGTAGTTCATGGGGGTACCACGAAC